TTTATTCATATCACGAATAAGTTGTTGACTTATATCAAAATAATTTTAAGTTACAAAATTAACTCAACACAATGAAAAAATCCAAATTTGGATTCTTCTCTTGTGCATCATGTCACATTTTATTTTTTTTTATTGGTTCATATCCACATTAAATAAAAACATTTTATTTAATTGTCAAGAAAATTGGTCAGAGGACTTGATTGCACAAATTTACTTAGTTTAGTGGCAACATTGAAGTCATTCTTATAAATTAACATATTTGGATTTAAAGACTGAAATCCTCATAAGAAGTTTCCCTTCAACTGACAGCTTTTTTTTTTTTTTTCTCTTTTTTGATGGATCAACTGACAGCTTTTAAATTTACAGGAACCAACCAAGATTGGATGTCCATTTTTTATTAAAAAAATTGTAGGTGTCAAGCGGTGGTTACACTGTGGCAGTCGCCTCTTATTTGTACTTTTCATTTTGTATTTTCTTCTTTTCTTTTTATTATGAAATGTTTAAATTTTAAAACATTTTTTCAATTCATTTTGGTGAGTACTTTTGTCAATGTTATTAATACTGTATTATATCAGTTGATATGATGGGTGCATATCAATTTCTACATTAAATTAAAATAATATATTATTTTATTTTATTTTAATCAAATTTTGTTTATTTTAACTAAATTTTAATGTACTAATTGATATTTTGATGTACCAACCAATAAATGAAAATTAATCGGTATAACTCTATTTAAATTTAAAAAGAATAAATTTCATTTTTAGCTCTTAATTTTAATATTTTACACAATTTTCATCATTTAATTTTTTTATATATTTTTTTAATTCATCAACTAAAAAATATATATTTTTTAATCCTATTAATTACTCTATTAAGTTTGCTTAAATATACACATTTTTAATCTCTTAATTTAAAGTGGATGAACGAAAAATATGCATATATTAAAAGTTGACGATTAAAAATGATTATTTTAAACTTATTTTTAATTTATGAAAATATAATGGTTTTAAATATTAATATTTTTTATTTCATTTTAAAATTTAAAATTTAATTTATAAAAATATATATTTATAATCATAAATCTAAAATGATATATAAAAAATTTTGATATTTAATATATAACATTTCAATACAAAATTAATATACACACCAATACGATATCGAAAAACTTTGATTTCTGTCTCTCTTTCTCTTTTTCTTTTACCGAGAGCATACCCACTCGATCAGCCAATCAGCCACAGGCCCTAGTTTCTTTTTATAAATAATATGGTTGTAATATCTCTATGACAGTAATTTTATAATGATAATTGGTGTAAATGTATATAATATAATATGTGTCTTTAAATAAAAATAATTAATTATAAAATAATATATAATTATTATAAATTTATAATATTATGTAATGTTAAAATCTTAAAATTTTCAGCTTTTTTTTTCAGAGTTAGGGTGTTTTATGATTAGCACATCTCTTAAAATCTATTTTTAACAGGATCTTTAAAGGTGACGATCTAAAAAAAAAGATCTTTAAAGGTTGTGTCCTCTTCATCGATAAGTATATTTAAGAAGATTGAGCCTGCATTTAAAATTATTTTCCCATGGCGATGTTTTTCATAATAGCATTTTAAAAGTTTTAATGAAAAACAAAAATATAAAAATTTTAATTTGTTACAATTGAATTAATTTTAATTAATTTTTATAGTTTGATAAAAATATAAATGTATACTATTTTTTCACTATAATTATTAAATATTAACATAATTTTTGCTATAATATATCAAAATTCAATTGTGGATATAATACTAACAACAATCTCAAATAAAATCCTACAACTTTAACTTGTTATTGGTTGAAAATTGGCTTTTACTAACCTCAAGTGTAGGGTTTAATTTTCATTCCCAACCCCACAATTATAATTGTTCAAAAGAAGTATTAAAATATATAAAATTAACAAATAAAATGTGGTAGAGAAGAAATAAAGCATGGTTGAACTTCCAAACTTCCTTATTTGATAAGTAAGAAAGAGGAATAGGAAAAGTGAAAGAAACAAAAGAAATTGTAATTGATGCAGCTCCCCATGAATCAATACTTTCCTAAATGGGAGAGAGTTTTGCAATAGCTTTATGATGATGACCTCAAGCCAATTTGGAACATGAAGTAAGGCCACCCGAAATTCCTTATTGATTTTGAGAATGTTTGTAGAGTCATTATTAAATCAATGTAAATTAAATAGATGGATGAAACTTGGTGGGAAATGTTGAGTGTGAAAGCAAGCGGATTTAATTCTCCATGGGTATTATTAGGCCATTAAAGTCACATTCAATTACTCAACGGTGTAGAATTAAGAACTCAATTTTATAAAGCTTTCTCTTGCTTCTCAAATAGAATTCTATACATTAGTGCTGGTGTAATCACGCTCATTCTTCTGTTTCTAACCTTTGAATTATAAAGTGTCAATATCAATAATTCCTTAATTTTTTTGTGTAATATATAAGCAACCCTTTGATGATGTCAATGCCACATATTGCCATCCTCTAGTTATTAAGACATTGTAATATACGTATTTTTATTACCTCAAGCAAAGAGATCCTGCCTTGTTCATTTAGTGCGTGTTCCACTACAGGCATGAATCATCTGTGCATTCTCATTGCCAGATTAACATTGTTAAATATATGCATTGCTTCTTGCCTATACCCACTTTGGTATTACCAATGAACCCCCATCCAACTCCTTTTTATTCCTCTACTTTGTTATTGCCACTAAAGAAAACTCTCTTTCTTTTTCTTTAGACCTTTTCTTCAGCATAGTTTAAACTATTGTCTTTCAAAGAGATCGATTTTAATTGTTTAAAATTCTGAAAGTGGAATAATGAGGTTTGGTAGAAATTACTGACTTTTCTATGTTTACCAAGAAGTTAACATTGAAGTAAAAGTTGTCAAAGTAAGTTAATGATAGAAATTAAGTAAGAAAAATTTTTTACTTATTGAAGAATGTGTGAAGGGCAAAGATGTTGTGAAAGAGTCAACATTCTTTTTGTTCCTCTACTTTGTTATTGCCACTAAAGAAAATTCTCTTTCTTTTTCTTTAGATCTTTTCTTCAGCATAGGTTAAAACTATTGTCTTTCAAAGAGATTTTACTTGTCTAAATTTCTGAAAGTTGAATAATGAAGTTTGGTAGAAATTACTGACTTTTCTATGTTTACCAAGAAGTTAACATTGAAGTAAAAGTTGTCAAAGTGAGTTAATGACAGAAATTAAGTAAGAAAAATTCTTACTTATTGAAGAATGTGTGAAGGGCAAAGATGGTGTGAAAGAGTCAACATTCCTTTTGTTTCTCTACTTTGTAATTTTTTTTTTTTTTATTAACCTCCCAGTGTCCAGTAATCATATTGGATCCCGATTAATCTGGAATCAAGCTGTGTCAGATCTTATTAGGAGGAAGTTCTTCCAGCGACTATTTCTCCATTCACAAGACTCGAACTTAAGAGGAACCGAACTTTTTTCACTCAGACCAATAGATCATAAGTTTCTCTACTTTGTTATGGCCACTAAAGAAAACCCTCTTTCTTTTTCTTTAGATCTTTTCTTCAGCATAGTTTAAACCATCGTCTTTCAAAGATATTTTAATTGTCTAAATTTCTGAAAGTGGAATAATGGGGTTTGGTAGAAATTACTGGCTTTTCTATGTTTACCAAGAAGTTAACATTGAAGTAAAAGTTGTCAAAGTGAGTTAATGATAGAAACTAAGCAGGGAAAAACTTTTTACTTATTGAGTAATGTGTGACAAAAACGAAGTGAAAAAAGTCAACTTTATTTTTGTTATAGTATTACATTATTAGCTTCTTATTTTGTAATTTAAATTATATTAAATTACAAAATATAAATTATTAGATAAGTGAAAATTCTAAAATTAAAGGACTTTCTCTATCTAAAAATTTAAGTTGTGTAGTTTAAATTGTATAATATTTCTTTGTTAAACTATATTAAATACTAATTATCTTCCAACTTAAAAAAAAAAAAAAAAAAAACTTCCACATAACAAAGAAAACCATGTCTGAATTAAGGAAAACAGAATCTATGTCCCTTTTATTTTGCTCAACCTAAACACACTATTAGATAAATCATCATCGATTGATTAATTTGTAAAAGAGGATAAGCTACAGTAAGGACCCTTTACAGTTTAGAAGCACAAGGGGAGTGGATAGTTTAGCTGGATATGCATGTGCCTTATGCCTGAAGTTTTCTCCAGGCAAAGATAGTGCAATTAGCTGTGTAGCACATGCTGTATTCATTCCTTCTTATAGAAAACAACAACAAATGAATAAATTCGATTCTTTTTTCTTTTTACTATGAATACAAATTTGATTCTTATTCTCTCTTTATATTTGCAATTTCTTTAGCATTAATTTATACACATGATCCATATCAGTCCATTGTTCTCCTAATTTGGCAGATGCTTCTCCTTTCTTGACCTGTCTCATTTATGAACCATATATTTTTTTTTATCTTACAATGGACCATGATTATACCCTCTAATTATAATGGCAATTCTAAATTTTTTTCATTGGTTTCAAAAATGATTATGGTGTCCAAGATTACAAGATTGAATGAGTGTACATTCATGTGATTAAAATAGAACACTCAAACAAATTCATAATACAATTTTTGGTAAAACATAGCCTTGTTTTACAATTCAAAAAATAAGAATAACTAAATAGAAGAACTTTCAATATTATGAGATCTATCTTCATCCAATAATTTAAATTATGATGCAGACAATACTACACCATAGTTTTGTACTTGATAATGCACCACATCATGCATATATGGTTGATTTTTAATTTTGGCAAGTATCTTGTTTAAAACAGTTGCACTCATCAAAGTTGTGAACATGATCACAGACTAGAATACAAGTCATTTTCTTTTCACACAAGGAACATATTAGAATAAGCTAATCAAAAATTCATTTCATTTCACTTAGATTTATTCTAAATTTAACCAAAAAATTCACCAAATTCAAACCAGACTTAAATTATTCTGGAGCAAAGTGTATGATTAGTATAAGGTTAGAGTTGATTCATCCAAAACGCGAAGAATGCTAGTGATTATGTAAATTAAGTTAAATGAAAGAGAAACCCTCATGCTTTTCTTGCCTCTTAAGTTGTTTTACCTTTAAAAATCCTTCTTCTTCTTCCCCTTCCCTTACTCCCAAAGAGCTTTTAAAAAAGAAAGAGGTCTAATTCATGTGGTTATATCTTTTTCTGTTTTTGCATTGATTTTCTTTGTTTTTTTGGTTCAACAGATAATTAATTGAAGATGGTGAAATGCCATTGTTGTCACAAGCTGAATGTGAAAAGAGGCCTTTGGACTGCAGAAGAAGATGCAAAGATGCTTGCTTATGTATCCAAACATGGAACTGGGAATTGGACTGTTGTTCCTAAAAAAGCAGGTTTATTAACTTAATTTAATTAATTCCCTATGTTTTATGTAATCTTAGGAATAAGAATTAAAATTTTGATGTTTAATGTATATCTTAAATAGGACTCCGAAGATGTGGGAAGAGTTGTAGACTCAGGTGGACAAATTACCTAAGGCCGGATCTCAAGCATGACAACTTCACACCTGAAGAAGAGGAATTGATCATCCTCCTTCATGCAACCATTGGTAGCAGGTCAAATCTCATAACATTTCAAGATCTTAAATCTTGACCTTTTAGAATCTCAACATGTTCTTTTTTGACAGTTTTTATGAATTGTCTCTTATTCTTACTACATTGTTTTTGTGGAACAGGTGGTCTATTATAGCCCAACAGCTACCAGGGAGAACAGATAATGATGTCAAGAACTACTGGAACACCAAGCTTAAGAAAAAGCTATCTGACATGGGAATAGATCCTGTTACCCACAAACCATTTTCCCAAGTCCTTGCTGATTACGGAAGCATCAATGGAGGATTTTCCAAACTCAGTACCCGAATTGGATCACTCAACAGAGACCTGAAGAATGCATTCACCATGTCAAAATCTGAATCATTTCCATTAACCACATCTGAAGGGTTTGGTACAAACATGAACGATAATGTCAAGGTTGACAATCATGGAACTTATACTGGTTATAATAACTCAATGGATCTTCTTTCCCAATTGCAAGTCATAAAACTGGTGACAGAAGCATCAAATGGCAGATTCTTCAATGAAAGTTCATCTTCTTCTTCACCTTCGAGTTCCACTCAATCCACTGCAGCTTTCAATGAAAGTTCTTCTCTAGCATTCAGCTGGCAAGATTTTCTTCTTGAAGATGAATTGTTGCCATCCCAAGATGAAAACAATAACTCCACGGAATTCTCATGCAAGGAGTTCTCTGATCAAACCCAGATTTACAATGGAAATGGAGAAACCAGCAAAGCTGTTTATGATGGTTCCTTGGTGGATTCCATGACTGATCAACAAAATGAGATGTTCTCTGAGTTTGCTTACCTTCTGGAGGAGCCATTACACAACTAAGCAGTTTCTTTTCTTTACATGAAATCCTTTGCATGAAAGAATAATAAACTTTATAAAATTTCTACTGCTGAAATCTGAATACGCAAGTGAAATGTATTAATTATCAAATACTAATGGAGTCCAGCTTTTCCTCATGGCTTTCATAGAAAAAAAAAGAAAAGAAATCAAATATATATATTTTTCAATGGAAAAACTGTTTTACAATTTGAAATGCACAACAATTCCCATTAAATGAGAAATGAACTCGTCCCAATCCAACTATCCATGTGTTGTAGTTTGGACTCTTTTCAATAGGTCTTAAATTTTCACTCAAAATTAATATGAAAAGCTAAAAAGTCAAGTTAAGATAACTAAAAATAAACAAAAATAATAATAAACTCTTGTTCTCTCCATTTCACTTTAGTATGGTAAACATAGTGATTTCCATCTAATAAAACAGGATGCAATATTACTGTAATTAATAAAATTTTATATTTATATGATAATTAATCACTACTTAATTAATTATTCTTATTTAATTTATGTTATAATTATACTTTCAAAATAAGGTAAAATAAAAACAAAAAAATATTTCACAATTTGGTTTAGATAACACTCATAATTTTTTTTGTATTAACCTTCCGATTGAATTCCAATTAATTTGTAATCGAACCACATTAGATTTTATAAGAGAAGCTCTCCCAACGTCTATTTTTTCATTTATAGAATTTAAACTCGAAACAAGAGGTATGAAATTCATTCCACTCGAACCAACACATGGTTGGTATAACACTCATCATTTGACAGGGCATGTCTCTTTAATATGAAATATTATCTTTCTATTTAATTATTTTTGTTTTATAATTAATACAAAAAATTTAATTAAAAAAAACGTATTAAATAATATCCTTAAAAAAATTAGTTGTACTGACGCAATGGACTGTTGGACACTTGGGTTGAGTCTGATGGGCTTTTATATCACAGTAGACTCACAACCCGAGTATTTATTGGGTTTGCATTTGGGTCAGGTTGACCCGAAAAAGTCAGTTTCCGTTGTCGTGGAAAGTACAGATAACATGAAAACGGAGGGAAAACGGGGGAAGATGGTGGCGCTTTCTTTGTCCAGAGGCGAGCTGCACAAAGTTCCGGTCCTTCCGGATGTGCCTCCGAGATGGCTAACGCCGACCTGTAAAATCTTCCTCAGGGACTTCAAGAACCTATTGCAACGCCGCAACAAAGCTCTCTCTTGTTCCGGCTCTTCCTCTAACCCTAACCCTGATTCAAAGCAGCAAATTGAAATCCCCAAAGTTGATGAGGCTCCTTGGGAGGTCAGAGTGGAAGCGGGAACGCTGGGTGCTTTGAAACCTGGGGTTCAGGTGGAGGTTACGGATAAGGGTGGAGGATCAGAGGCTAAAGGTAGGTCCGAGAAGCCTGTTGATGAGGCTGAATTGAAGCGCGAGAAAGAAGGTGGCTGAGATGCTGCTGAAGGGGAGGGAAGTTTTAATTTGCTGCAGGTGGTTGAGAAACCTGTTGAAGAAGCTAAAACAAATGTGGAGGTTTGTGATTTTGGTTCTTGTGGTTGTCCTTTCCTTGCAATTTTGATTTTTAATTTAATGCATGGTAGCTTAAAATAACAAATTTTGGACAATGAAGGGGATTTTTTTCCTAAAAGGTTTGAAATTTTTGAATGATTTTGGGAGATGGATCTCAGTTTGTGATGTAAATGAGTGCAAGGATGGTTCTTCATGGGTATTGATAGTGAGCATTAAAGATGATAAATAGGGAAAATGTATCTTATGTTCATTTTGATGATTAATCTCTAGTCTTTATGGAAAGCATAATTAATGCACAATATATGTTAAAGAAGTAATAACATTGTATTGTCAGCACCTTGTTCAGCTTCAGTTCGATTCATTAGGGTTTTTCAAAAGGTAATGATTTAGGGGTAATTTTTTAAACTGTTGTTTAAATGATTGATTCTTTTAATTTATGTGAGACTTATGATATTGAATACATTTACTCATTTAATAACACGTGAAAATTATATCAAAAAATAATGATGCGTAAAAGTTGTATAAAAAAATATCATAAAAAAACATTATTCCTATAACTCCAGCTCTTTTTTTTTTTAGTACGTGACATTAATTTGGATAGAAAAAATAAAAGTTAACTTTAATGTTATAACTTTTAATTTAGAAGTACGATGTGACATTAGTGCGAAAATTAAGGTTAACTTTTATGTTTAACTATCGTAAATTAATATTCAAAAGGTAAATTTATTGTACCCTGGATGTTTAAATCCATATTTTATTGGGAAGTGTTGATTAATTTTGAAATCCGTTTTTTTTGTTTGATAATATGGGTATCCAAGCTTTTGACTTGATTAATGCCACGAGATGGGTCCCTACAAACTGCCCTGTTCACAAGCACAGGGCAAAGCTTAGGCATGACCCATTGGAATTGTTTGCACTCAAAATGGCAATAGAAGGACTCAAGCTTGTGTTCTCAAACATGATTCAGATCAATCCTTACTACTTGAGCCAACCCCAATGGGTTAAAACTAAAAGTTACTATGTAATTTGAAAGAGGGCCCAACTGGGTTAGAACCAATGACCTCTTGATCTGCAGTCAAATGCTCTACCACTGAGCTATGGACCCCTTTCTGATTCTATAATCCTTTTCTTTATTTGCTGATTGTAGAAACTTATTTATTTATTCATTGTTTCCTTATTTTTCTCTGTTTTACTTGCCAGACAGTTGACAGGACAGATAGTTAAATGAAAATGAGAAACGGAAAAGGGATTTTGAGGAGAAATTACGAGTTCTGAATGCAAGAAAACACAATCTGGTACAAGTACTGAAGCAGGTATGCTTTCCTAATGTGGTACAGGTGACTTCTTTTGGATATGACCTGGCCTGCATGTTGAGTTTTTGGGGCCTATGTCCTGCCATTGTATCCTTGAAGCAATTATTAATAGTGTAATTAATCTGTGGTTCTTGGTAGATTTTGAATGTAGAGGAGGAATTGAAGAGACATAATAGCATGTAGGATATGGCCATTTGTGCAGCTGCTCCACTTCAAGTAGAAGTCCCAAATGACCCCAGTTCAGTGTCCAGGCAAGTCACTCCAAACTTGGGATCAGAGTCAAATCTCGCTGGTAAGTGGAGGTGAAGCTAACGACATTTCAAATCATAATGTATATTGTTGCCATATCTTTCATATGAGCTGTCCATCTTCAGAGTCTCCTCTTAGAAGGCCTTCCTGTATTCAACACAATGTGGTAATATTATAATTGTTACTTTTTGATTCTTTTGAAGTGTTTGGACATGTTTTCTGTTAGTGCTCTAATGTCATTCTTACCCTATGTTCAGTGTTTTGTTATTAATCTTGCATCGCTGGTAGAGCTGAATCAGGCTGGGGCTACATATATACATTGCTCAAACTTGACTTTAAGTACTGATTCATAACTTGAGTTGTTGGGAGAAATTCTTGTGTTTTGAGTTCAAAGTCAATAGGCTTAGAATCAAAGTAGCAGCAGATAACATGCTTTAATGTCAACAGATCTAGTAGTGAAAAAATTATCCTTCTTCCTTTTTTTTCTTCGATGAGTTGTCCTGAATGAATTCTTTTCTATAATCTATTTGTTCACTGTGTTCCCAAATGTGATTCAGTGGGTTAATTATAGAATGATTTGTGGTTTTGTTGTTACTTCCTCAACCAAAATATACTTGTCTCTGTAGAATCATGTGGACCAATGGGGAGTAAAGGACAGTAGCTCACTCCCAACCCGTCAC